TTGGCTGTAAGCCATGTCAACATAATATGTTACCTTAAAGAAAGAGGTTTATACCAAAACATATAATACCTACAATAGATCATCTACAAATTATATATCTATAAAACATACATATTTTTTTAATTGAGTTCACCCCAAGCAAGGAAGTAAAGCCACTAAGACACAATGGGTTACTGGTTGTGAAAGAATTAGAAAACAGAAACATTACTAAGAAATGAGAATAAAAGAGTGATCAGAAGGACAGTAGATAGCAATTGGCATTGCATTTAAATTTTTCAAGATTAAAGTTGGCTGGAAAGCATCAAGTTGGAAGGGAGTTCCATAAGCGAGAAGGTTTATTAGATGAATCATTGTCAAACATTATTATTAATAAGCTTTGTCAACCACTACTTATAATTTTGGATTAGTATTTACTTTCATCTTCATTTTTTATTAGATGAAGAATTGTCAAAAATTATTATTAATAAACTATGTTAAATATTATTATTAATATTGGACTAGTATTTACTTTCATCTTAGTTGCTTTTTATCTCAAAATTCATTCGACTGTTAATGTATATCCGTGAATAGATAATACAAGACTGGAAATAAAAGCATACAAAATAAAACAGAAATAATGTTGCTGATATTATTACTACATGTAAAAATAAAAACAGCAAGAGACTGTGGAATGGAGTGATGAATAATAGGTTAGATTCAGTCACCTGCAAATCTATTAAGTTGTAGCTTAGCAGTTAAAGTATCCAGAAGAAAGAATAATGGACCTCCGCAAGGCAAAAGGGACATGCGTAGATATCTTGCCTTGTACTTATTCTTTTTTTCTGTTACTGATAGTTCACCCTATACAAGGCGCAAAGGTCACTCAAGGTAGAGGGTTACTGACAGAGATTTTTGTATGGCAGGGGGAAGTAAGATAGTATTATAAAGATAAGATATCCATTGACCCTGGATCAATATTGTAGTTGCCAGGGAAGCATTCTGTTGGGAGTTTGTTACCCAAAGTAACAGTTCTGGGGAAGAAGTTGTCGGAGTAGAACTTACCTTTTATCAAAGGAACACAAATGTAATGTGGATGGTGTGCCACTGTGAATATTGCATAACAGTTCTGAGCTGGTGGAACTAATGAATGTAGCTCATCCAAATATCTGCTATAGTAATTGGGTGAAGCTACCAATTTTTCATTTAAGTTCATTGTCAATCTTTGTCTTTTGTCTTCTTCTCTCTCTTTAATAGTGTTTTTCTCTCATATTCAGAAACTCAGTAATCATCTGCATCTTAGTGGCTTTATTGCCTTGCTTGGGGTGAAATTCTTAAAAAAAGACTATGATTTTAAAAAAAGTTAAAAAGCCATATGAAGAGCTTGGTGAGATCATTTTTATCATTTAAAAAAAATATTCTCCTTTCATGACTGTCTAAAATGTCATCAATGACATACCCAACTATACAACCACCATAAGAGGAAAAAAAGTAAAAGTGAATAAATAACAATCTATCAAGCATTTAAATAGGCAAAAAAGTCGTACCAGGAATAAAACGCAAAAGAAAAAAAAATAATTTAAGATGAAATGAAAAACAAAATTTTTTAAATAAAACTGAAATTGAATATTTAACATTTCTTTTCAAGAATAAAAATATTTCTCCATATATTTGTTTGAGTTACCTTGAACAAAAAAAAAATGGATCAGGTATTTTGGGTTTGAAAAAAAGAGAAAAGATTAAAAAGGAAAAAAACGAAAGAAAAAAGAAAAAGCAAACGAAAAAAGAAAGAGAAAAAAGAAAAAGAAAAAGAAAAAGGAAAAGGAAAAAGAAAAAGGAAAGGGAAAAAAGAAAAAAAAAAAAAATAAGTTTTATCTTTGTTAGTTTTTCTTCCATTTTCTCTTTCTTTTTTTGCAAAAAAAAAAAAACATAAAAAAGAAAAGAAAACATTCTTTTATATGCAGGTGCCTCCCTATTTAAACAAAAAAAAACAAATCTGATATTGTAAAATTTTTTAAAATAGAACATAGAAAAGCCAGATAATGGTGCTTGGAGGATTTGAAATGCTTGCTACCAAAGCTCCATTGTTGAATAACCTTTTTCTCATATAAAGTGGTCTTGTCTTAATCATAGTGGCTGTTTTAAATTATTTTTTTTTTATTTCTTTCATTTTAATTATTGTAAAAATTACTGTAGAATATCAGAGAGCTGTCTTCTAGTTTCCATGAGTTTCAGTCTCTATTAATAATCTCTCAAAAATTTGAAATTCTTCACTGGGAAGAATTTCGAAATGATGCAAAAGGAAAAAAAATTAAAAAGTAATATAATCTATCTGTCGCACACCAATTCAAAAGGTGTACTTAATTTAAGAGTTATCAATCATTAAAACAGGGTTTGGGTTTTTGTAAAAAAATAAATAAATTTTAAATTAAAAATTTAAAAAGAAAATCTGTCTGTTTTACCAACCATGTGTTCTTTGATTTTTCAAAGTCGGGATTTTGCCTGACGAAAGCAATTTTTTTTAAATTAATGAAGAACAAAACGTGTGAAATGAATTTTATTTATTTATTTTCTAGCATCAACTCCAGAATATTTTAGATGCTCTCAAGAATTGATGTTTTTAGTTGCTACGAACAAATGCTGAGATGCAAAAAGAATTTGTCGGTTCTTAATTAAAAACTTATTAATTAATTGCAATGAGGATCACTGGCATTATCTCCATATTTTTTGCCCTAAATTTTTCTGGTATTAAATATTTGAGGTCGGGCAGGTGGAAATTATCCAAGAAGATTGCAAAATGACACAGATCAATATGAAATTAATTGCAAATCTCTGGGATTACACCATCTTCCAGAGTACTTCTCTTAACACCCGCTAGGTGGCTTTGTATACAGCAGTTTATAAAGAAAGGACACAAACCCTCATGTTTATTACTTTTTATTGGAAAACAATGTTTGAAATAGACGCCCAGTTTTTTTTTTATTTTAAACATTGTGTAACTATATCTAGTCTATCATACCACACCACTCTGCTCAGAGAAAACTTAACACACATTGTTTAAAATAAAACACAAAATGGGGGCATATATTTCAAACATGAGTATCCACTAAAAATATTTGAAGTAATAAAGATGATGGGTTAAAAGACAAATCCGTTAATTCTTTAGAAATTGTTTTGTTTACATTTTGGATACAAAACTGAGTAGATATTGGCTTTTGAAAAAAAAAAAACCCGAGGAGAGTGTGTGCATTCTTCAAAAGGGAAAATAGAACATTGCTGGAGCATGTTGCTCTCTGTTGCTGGATAAATTGGTAGTTTCTTCTACAAAGTCTTCCAGAGAACTTCTCTTAACACTCACTAGGTGCCATTGTATATAGCAGTATAAAAAGAAAGCACTTAAACCCTTTCTCTCTCTATTTTTTTACTCATCAACCACAGGAACCCATAATGACAAGACATATCTTGCTAGCTTGAAATGAGGCATGTACCACATCATATACAATATACCATACTATATCCTTCCAAAAAAAATCTCATGTGACCATCATCTCCCAAGAACATGGCCTACTTGATCAAATCCACTAGACTGCTAAGAGAGAGATGCTAGAAGGAAAGATAAAGAGCTAGAAGAATAACAAGAAAGAAAACAGGACAGAAGACTATTATGAAAAAAGGAGACATAAAGACGAGCAGGAAATAAAAGAGGACAAGAATAAAAGGTAAAAAGGTGACAGAAGACTAACAGGAAAGAAAAAAGAAGACAAAAGACTAGCATGAAAAAAAAGAAGACAAAAGACTAGCATGAAAAAAAAGGAGACAGAAGACTAGCTGGAATGAAAGGAGGACAGAAGAATAACAAGAGAAAAAGGTGACAGAGAACTAGCATGATAAAAAGGATACAGACGTCTGGCAGGAAAAAAAAGAGGCCAAAAGACTGGCAGGAGAGAAAAGAGGACAGAAGACTGGCAAGAAAGAAAATGAAGACTAGTCAGGGATAGAGAAAAGGACAGAAGACTAGCAAAAGCAGAGGGAAGACAGAAGATGAGCCAGAAAGTAAAAAGTGCATAAAATCAACCGGAAAGAAAACAGGACAGAAGACTGACAAGAAAAAAAAGAGGCCAAAAGACTGGCAGAAAAGAAGAGTACAGAAGACAGGCAAGAAAAAAAAAGAGGCCAAAAGACTGGCAGAAAAGAAGAGTACAGAAGACAGGCAAGAAAAAAAAGAGGCCAAAAGACTTGCAGGAAAGAAAAGAGGACAGAAAATCAAGAGATAAGAAGAGAGGACAAAAGACTATCATGAAAAAAAAAGGACACAGAAGTTTAGCTGGAAAGAAAGAAGGAAAAATATCTCAGAAGAATGCTACTAAAATGATAGAAAGACAAAGGATGAGATAAATGTGGTCTTCAAATACAGAGAAGGGTTTACTGGAAGAAAAAAAACATAGATATATCAAATAATGTTGTATAAATGATTACTTCAACTGCAACTAAGTAAATAAACAGAAATAAAAAGAAAAACAAATAATAGGTACACATTTAGTTGGCTATCATTTGGCAACCATTGACACATTATGTATGTATGTATGTATGTCTATTTAGGCAGCATATCTTCATTAAAACATGTTTCATTGTATAATATAGGCATATTATGCATATATATAATCAACTTCCCAAAAAGTGGCAAAAGCAGGTAGGATAAGGAATAATCTTGTTGCATCATAAATAAAAGAGATGCAAAAGAAGTTTGACATGACAACCACAAATAATAGAAAATAAATGGTAGCAGTCTGTTGATACATTGAAATGACGCTGGCTGTGAAATCAATAAAAAAAAGCAACAATTGGCAGTTGGACATGTGCCCAACACCTACGTATTTTCCTCAGTGACACTTTCCAGCAGAGGATTCGTTTCACCAACTGTTACTCTTGTAGCTTGTCAAGAGCATATAAATAGAGCAAGAATAATTGTCTTAGCCATTGTTAATATTTTCATTTTAAGGGATTCAGCAACTGAAAACAAGACACTAGGGTCTGTGTTTTAGATAGAGTTTTAATGAGTTCATCAAAAGTAAAAGTCGGTGATAGATAGATAGATAGATAGATAGATAGATAATGAACAAAGTGATATATGTGAACAGACTGAAATAGATGGATAGATAGATGTGAACAGACTGAGGTGGATGGATAGATAGATGTGAACAGACTGAGGTGGATGGATAGATAGATATGAACAGACTGAGGTGGATGGATAGATAGATATGAACAGACTGAGGTGGATGGATAGATAGATATGAACAGACTGAGGTGGATAGATAGATAGATATGAACAGACTGAGGTGGATAGATAGATAGATAGATAGATAGATAGATAGATAGATAGATAGATAGATAGATAGATGTGAACAGATGGATAGATAGATGTAAACAGACTTAGATAGATGGATAGATAGATGTGAACAGACTGACATAGATAGATAGATGTAAACAGACTTAGATGGATAGGTAGATGTGAAAAGACTTAGATGGATAGATAGATGTGAACAGATTGACATAGATGTGAACAGACTGAAAAAGATGGATAGATAGATGTGAACAGACTCAGGTGGATAGACAGATAGATAGATAGATGTGAACAGACTCAGGTGGATAGACAGATAGATAGATAGATGTGAACAGACTGAGTTAGATTGAGATGGGTGTGAACAGAGTGAGATGGATAGATAGATAGATAGATGTGAATAGACTGAGATAGATGGATAGATAGATATGAACAGACTGAGATAGATATGAACAGACTGAGAGAGATGGATAAATAGATAGATATGAACAGATAGATAGATAGCTACTGAATAGACAGACAGACAGACAGATAAATGGATTTTTTTTATTGATCTGTTTGTTTAACAGCATATCAACACCTTATAGGTCATTTAATACTGAACATTAATTTTCTTAGGAGCTTTGAAGTAAAAATAATAAAAATATATGTTATTCTGCTGTCACAGTTGAATACATGGCTCTCTGATTCTTCATTCTGATCCCTTATCTATTACAGTACCTACCCATTCTCTGGTGATGGATGTGTCTAGATGCACAACCTAACCAACTTCATCCAGCTCTTATTGCTGCTGGGGGGGGGGGTCCTATTACTAGTGTTTTGAAATACTTGCAGTCAATAGAAGTTCAAACAAGGAGAAATAAAATTATAAACAATTCATAAAACAGCTTAAAACAATGGTAGGCATTACTTTTCTACCCACATGCGGCATATAAAAAAAAACAAACTTGCACTCTACAGCAGGAATTAAACCCGCATTCCTCAGTGCAGAGGGAGCTACCCTTTAGTCCAGCACACCCTACCTACTTGGCCATGGAGAACAGTCAGTAAGGCAAAGCAATAATTTTGTGCTTTCAAATGAAATTTCTTGTCATAGATATCTGAAGGTTTTTATTATATCTGTACAGTTTCATATCCAAACGTAAACAAAGATAATTTTAGAATGGATTTTTTTATTAATCTGACAGCTTTTTATCACTTTGAATGTTATTTTTAGCAGATATGCATATTTAAGTAGGCACTCTGTTTATATATTAAACAGTATATTTATTTTTGTTGACATTACTTATCTATCCACATCTGTCATATAAAAAGAGGCAAAAATTAGATAAAATTAATACATAAACATAAATAAATATTTATGAGTCATTGGCATTTGACAATGACACTATTCATAGTTTTCCTGCTGAATTTACGCAAACACTACTTATTGCAAATCAAATTCCCTATGCATACATGATGGACCATTATTTTGGATGGCAGTAAAGATGACAACATTTATCAGAAGGTCAAAATGAATTGGTGGATGGCACTGAAGAAGATTAATACATCTAGGATGGTTGTGAAGTACAACCATTGCATGACAAATTTGATCAAAGTTCTGGGTGCTTGTGAGAAGAATAATGGCTCTTGAAGCCTGCAAGAGATATGCAATGCTTATTGCAGATGTGGCTAAATACAGCACTTGGCCTGTTTTGTAAAGCCTCTTCAGCTTGTTTGTGGGTTTTCTGTCAACGGTTAAGACTTGAGAGTTTTCTGAAGGTTTTATGATACACATCTACTACAATGACATAATACTGGAAACTGTCAGGACATCTCTTTTAGACTCAAATAGCAGCACAGTAAAATATGGACAAAATTTAAATCAAAAAATATCATCTGTAGGAGAATTTAAATGCTTTTATTATTAGAAGTGGGTATATATATGAATAGAAGATCAAATATAAATCAAGTATGGCTAGGAATTTGACAAAATGATAAGATAAAGAACAAGTAGGAAACAGATCCCAATCTAATATGTTTCACTTTATCAAAGATTCATCAGAGATCAAGTTAGAAATTATAAAACAATGATAAAAAAATAATTTTTTATCATTTCTATCTTAAAGTGAAACATGTTAGATTGAGATCTGTTTTTGATTTCTTTATCCTATCATTATATATATATATATATATATATATATATATATGCTCCCCCTAGTGTAGGATCGTTAATTCATCTGAAACTTTTAAAACCATTTATTTTCTTTTCAACACCATCACTTGATAAGACACAGAGTGTGTTGAAACAAAATGGCTATTTTTGTAGTGATTTTATAACATACTTATGTTATAAATTTTTTATAAAAATAATTATATATATATATATATATATATATATATATATATATGATAGCATTCCTTCCTTGCTTGGCATGAAATGATTAAAAAAAAATATATATACAGGGTGCAATGGATAAATTGTCATCTAAATTATGGAAAAATGAAAATAACACTGTCATCTCATTTTAACAGATATGTTAGATATATTTATCCAAATGACACAAAAATATCTTGAAATACTAAAGAGTAAATCTATTCAATAAAACCCCATTGGCTTCAACCATGGCCTCCAGATAACTTTGGAATCTCCTGCAACTCTTCTGAATCGTCTCCTTGTTCAAGTTGGTGAATGCTACCATAATCTTTGCCTTCAGTTCATCTTTGGTGTTACAAAGAGTTTTTCTGATCTCTCACTCAACTGCACCCCACATAATAATCAAGGGGGTTTTAGTATGAGGAGTTAGGTGGTCAGATTCAAAGGATGATGTGGCTGCAGAAATTCTCTGACCACCATGACTGTGTTCTCCTGCTTGTGTGACATAGTGCAGAGTCCTGTTTCTACCTATAGGGTCTTCCAGCAGCCACACTCTTGACCCAGGGCAGCACTACATCCTCAAGGTACTTGATGTAGACCTCCATGTTGAGCCTGAAGCCCTCACCAAGAAATTTGGGATTTCTTTCCTTACCAGAATGATCAGAGTAAGTTTTCCAAGCTGCCATACCTTTGTAATCACTGTTAGACTCATCCAATTCCTTTGGAATCCCCTGCACTGTCCTCAAATTGACACCTAAACACTCTCAAATCTATGTATTGGATCTTCCAGTGCAAATGCCAAGCAGTACAGCATGTTTCCAAATTTCTGGTGGAGTGAATTGTATCATGGTTCCATTTTTCTCACAGATGGTGCCAAACTAACCCTACTATTCTGTGCAGTTGACAAAATTAAAAATATAAAATGGTGACAGTTTATACATCGTACACACACACACACTATATATATATATATATATATATATATATATATATATATATATATTGTGTGTGTATTTAGGCAGCATTTTTTTCATTGATGCATGTTTCATTAAATAATATAGACAAGTTTTGTCTATTTATTTTATGTAAATTCTTTTCATATCATCTGATAACCTTCATAACATTATCATTGAAAGAAAATCAAAAACTAAAAATTCTTGAAGCTATTTGCAAAAACAGTTGAAACATAACCAGAACAAAATAAACTATGAAATCTCCACAAATATTCTGAAATGTCTATAATTGATAACAGAAGTCATTGATTTATACCAACAGCTTCCCATACTTAATACTTCTCACTTTCACTCTCACGTGGTCATGTGTGATATCATAAGCTGCAGTGTGATTTTTGCTTCCAGCATTTGTATGCACCAGTTTGTCATTGCTTGGAAATCTTCCATGTAAACATAAACAGACTATCATTATTTTTTTGTCCATGTATTGTTTAAGATATTGTAATGTAATTGTCATCATTGATAATGGCTAATGGAAGCTGAAAGCTTAGAAAGAATTAAAAAATATGTATGAATATTGTGAATTTCTTTCGTCATAATATTTTTAAGCTTAACAGATGATAGGAAAAGAATTTACATAAAATAAATAGACAACACTTGTCTATATTATTTAATGAAACATGCATCAATACATATATATATATATATATATATATATATATATATATAAAATATAGTCTTAAGATGTGCTATATTTATGGGATAAAGTGCTCAATATCAGAGATAGAGCATGTGTAAATATAAAAGTGAACATAGAAGTCAACACTTAGAGGCGATAGTCTGTTTCATGCTAGATGCAATCCTCAGGCTTGAGGATTGCATCTAAGTGTTGACTTCTATGTTCCCTTTTATATATATATAATAAATGCCAATTTCAGTGTGTCACACTTCTTCAATTAAAGGAACACAACTCTCTAACTTTCAATAGCTCATGTTACAGAAATTTTGGATTCCCAAGTTTTCATTACTGCAATTGTTTTTGATGATTTTTTTTTTACGTAATTTTTTGACGAATTTTTTGTACGATAACAATTTTTATAATTTAGAAATAAATTTGGGTATAATCAAAATTATTTGCAAAATACAGCAAAAGTCACTCATGAAATAAAAATAATTGTTTCTATGGAAAGTAAGGACCTACATACATCAATTTGTCTTTAAATTAAGTGGTAGCAGAAGAATTATCATTGAACTTTTAAAAGTTAATCTTAAATATTAATGCAATACTTAAATGCAGTGATCAATTTTGAGTTCTTCTGTAGTTTATTGTTGGCTATTGCATATGACAGCAGTATGCCTCACAAAAAGAAATCTCCACCAACAGAGAACCAGATTGCAATTGAAAGAGCCAAGGCTGAAGTGAGGCAAAGAAAGTCCCATTCAAATGAGAACCCAGATCAAATGGCAGCCAGGAGAGTTTCCAATGCTGAAAATATGCAGACTTAGGGACTTTCATAGGGAACAAGCTGAAGTTCCAATCAAAAGCCCACTAGTTTAAATGCTGCCTGATAGGGTAGTTCTTAAGCTAGTATATATATATATATATATATATATATATATAGAAACAAACACTGGTTATAATTAAACATCAAAAGAAATGCTGAAGATGCAAGAATGGTTAATGTGCAGCCTAGTAGACTCCCTACAGTTTCTTACTATTTTTTTCCTTGTTTTCCTATTACTACTATATATATATATATATATAGGTGGGGGGGATGAAAATAGAAACAAACACTGGTTATAATTATAATTTATCATATACTTGCAGTGAATAGAAGTTTGTATTTGGAGAAATAAAATTATATAAACAATCATATATTTTAGTGGCTTCTGACTTTTTCTCTGTAACAGCATGTAACAGAAATAGACATTACTTCTTTATCTGCATGTGGCATATAAAAAGAGTCAACAATAAGAAAAAATAAATATATAAAATGTTGTATTGTGTTGTTCTATGACACATGATCAATAGTCAATTTCTTGCCTGTCTCTTAGTTTACTATACACTTTATATCTCTTCTACTTAACATATGCAAATGGGTACAATCCTATTTACCAATCTACTAGACCTCTCTGAACCAAAGAGGTTTAAAACCTTTCATTGTTCTTGAACTTTTTCTATAATCCCTTTCCTCCTCTCCCCTTGAGGTTTATGTCCTGTTCTTTTTAATGGAGGTCTTGGTCTCACTTCATCTTCTTCTTTGTCTGAGTCACTCCCTCTATCATCCATAGGCTTATCTTCTATTGCATCAACTTGATCTGAAGAACTCATACTTTCTTCTCTGTCAAAGTTTTCTTCCATCACAATGTCTTCCTCTTCAATTTGGGATCTTAATTGGTCAGAATGGACCATTAGGCTTTTTCTTTCCATTTTAATTTTGTTGTATTTTGTTGTTCCATGACATGTGATCAGTAGTCAATTTCTTACCTGTCTCTTAGTTTACTATACACTTTATATCTCTTCTACTTAACATATGCAAATAGATACAATCCTATTTACCAATCCATTATATAAATAAACATCTATCAGTTATTAGC